CAGCTAATAGGGAGGCTGAGGCAGAATTGCATGAACCCGGGAGGTGAAGGTTGCAGTGAGCTGAGATTGTGCCATTGCACTCCAGCCTGGGCGACAGAGCAAGACTCCATCTCAAAAAAAAAAAAAAAAAAAAAAAAGGAAGAGAATGTGGTATCTCATATACTTGTGAGGATTAAGTGATATAACTTGGTGAAACTTAGCTCAGAATCTGAGATCTAGAAGACGCTCAATCTGTCTTCATTAACTCATAAACTTTCCCAAAAGCAAAGGCCTTAAATGACTTCATTTATTTAATTACAGAACTAATCAAACTAATTTGGAAGATAACACGGCAGAAGACCCCGAGAAAGCACTGCAAAATCACTAAGAAAGAAAAGTTCAGGCCAGGTGCAGTGGCTCATGCCTATAATCGCAAGGCTTTGGGAGCCTGAGGTGGGAGGATTGCTTGAGGCCAGGAGTTCGAGGCTGCAGTGAGCTATGATTGCACCACTGCACTCTAGCCTGGGTGACAGAGCAAGCCCTTGCCTCTAAAAATAAATAAATATGAATATAAATATAAATATATGTAAACTAAACCACAAAAGTTTCACTCCTTTTGAACCATGAATGCCTACATGCTCCCTTATTAAATGATGTAATTGAGAGGTGATTTTCTTTCTGGGTCATGGCAGATACCACCTGTCTCTAACTATGTGACAGTGATGGGAAGGGACGTGGCCTTCCATCTCTGGGTTAAAACCTCCAAAAAAACCTAAGGAACTGCTGGGCGTTGGTGGTTCATGCCTGTAATCCCAGCACTTTGTGGGGCCGAGGTGGGCAGATCACCTGAGGTCAGGATGTTTGAGACAAGCCTGACCAACGTAGCGAAACCCTATCTCTACTAAAACTACAAAAATTAGATGGGTGTGGTAGTGGGCGCCTGTAATCCCAGCTACTTGGGAGGCTAAGGCAGAAGAATCCCTTAAACCCAGGAGACAGGTTGCAATGAGCCGAGATTGCACCATTGCACTCCAGCCTGGGCAACAAGATTGAAACTCCGTCTAAAAAAAAAACAGAAAAAAAAAAAAACCCCAAAAAAACCCCACAAACCTAAGAGACCAAGGAACGGACCAATCACCAAGCTCCCAGCCCCCCGGAGCCTCACCCCTGTGCACCATGGCGGCCTCGGGACACATCAGCCCCTTCCCCTGGGCCGACCGGGCGCTCCTTGGGAGCCAGCCGTACCTGTAGTTGTGGAACCAGTTGATGACGGTGCTGGTTTTCAGGTTGAGCTGGGTGGCGAGGTCTTCGATGGTTTTTGGTGACGGGTATGGCTTTTGCTGATACGCTCGTTTCAGCGCCTCCTTCTCCTCTGGAGCCAGCACCACCCGGGGTTTCTTCAGCTGGTGCTGGGGCTGGGGGCTGGCGCCCTGGCTGTACTCGGTGCCGACGGAGGGCGGTTCGCAGGGCTGGCTGTCACTGACTGAGCTGTGCCGCCGCTTCATGTAGGCTGCGGAGGAAGAGATGGCAGACAGGTCAGGCCCAGGTGGGACAGCAGCCCAAATCCCCGGTCCCCGCTAGCGGGATGGCACAGTGCCGGCTTGCGGGACTTTGCACAGAGCATCTCAAAACACTAAGATGAGGCTGGGCGCGGTGGTTCATGCCTGTAATCCAAGCACTTTGGGGGCCTGAGGCGGGCAGATCACTTGAGGTCAGGAGTTCAAGACCAGCCTGGCCAACATGGTGAAACCCCCTCTCTACTAAAAGTACAAAAATTAGCTGGGCGTGGTGGTGGGCGCCTGTAATCCCAGCTAATAGGGAGGCTGAGGCAGAATTGCATGAACCCGGGAGGTGAAGGTTGCAGTGAGTCGAGATGGTGCCACTGCAGTCCAGCCTGAGTAACAGAGCAAGATTCCCTCTCAAACAAAACAAAACAAAGAAACAACACTAAGATGAGAGCCATTCTGTTACCAGCACACGCTCACCAAGGACCTGCTCTGACGGAATGTGAGGTCCTCACCTGTCCCTGCACAACTTAACAGTTTAGTAGGGGAGGCGGAGAAGTATCCAGAGAGATGTTCCCATCAGAGTGAAAAGTGGGGTGGGGGTAAGTAAGTACAAGGGACCATGGGGATATTGAGAAGAGTTCCTCAGTCAGGCCTGGGGAGGGGGCAGGGGAAGTTGCCCAGAAAAGATGATGTTTAAACTGAATCTTGGAGGACATCACCTGGCGTGGTGGCTCACACCTATAATCGCTGCAGTTTGGGAAGCTGAGGTGGGAAGATTACTTTAGCCTAGGAGTTTGAGACCAGCCTGGAGAACATAGTGAGATCCTGTCTCAACAAAAAATTTAAAAATTAGCCAGGTGTGGTGGCGTGCACCTGTAGTCTCAGCTACTCGGGTGGCTGAGACGGGAGGATCGCTTGAGCCCAGAACGTCGAGGTTGCAGCAGTGAGCTATGATTGCATCACTGCCCTTCAGCCTGGGCAACAGAGTGAGACCCTGTCTCTAAAAAAAAATAAAATAAACAACTTAGGCAAGGGAATTCGTTAACTAACTTGCCGTTTTGTCATGAGAACTCAGAAGTAATTGTGAAGGTAAATCTTTCCCACAGAAAACACAAACAGCGGAGCCGGGCGCGGTGGCTCACACCTGTAATCCCAGCACTTTGGGAGGCCGGGGTGGGTGGATCACCTGAGATCAGCGATCGAGACCATCCTGGCTAACATGGCGAAACCCTGTCTCTACTAAAAATACAAAAAATTAGTTGGGCGTGGTGGTGGGTGCCTGTAGTCTCAGACCACTCGGGAGGCTGAGGCAGGAGAATGGCGTGAACCCGGGAGGCAGAGCTTGCAGTGAGGTGAGATCATGCCACTGCACTCCAGCCTGGGCAACACAGCAAGACTCCCTCTCAAAAAAAAAAAAA